AGCCTTGACAACATTCACTTCCGAAGCTTGTACTGCTTTTTCTTTATTCTTCTCGGTTTTATCCTTCAACTTTGGGCAGTCTATCTTCCAATATCCTTCTTCTTTACAAAAGCGATATTGATTCCTACAAATACTCTTATGGCCACCTCTATTCTTCGATTTTGAACGGTTGAACTGACAGCGGTTTGAATCACGGCCTCGAACTGCTAATGTATCTTCCGATGCCTTCTCGGAGGGTTCATCATCACTCTTCCTTAACCCATAATTTATCAACGCTGAGATCACCTCCTTATAACTAACAATAGTTCTTTCATTGATCATAGTAAAAACAAACGTACCATAATCATCCTCCGGCAACGAACACAAAAGTAGCTTCGCCTTGTCTTCATCCTCAATCATGATCTACACATTGGCCATATCTGAAAGTAGCTTCGTGAAGTTATTTACATGCTCCCTAATGGAAACTCTCCTCTTCATCTTGAACTGGTAAAACCTCTTCTTCAATTAAAGTTGATTCTCAATGTTCTTAGTAAGATACTTCTCATTGAGCGTTTCTCACAATCTCTTCGTCGACGTCTCGTTCATAACATCATAAATAAGATCCGACGTCAAACATGACCGAATAACTCCACAAGCCCTACTGTTCATCTTCTTTCAAATCTTGTCCTCCATGTCTTTGGATTTCTCTTGTAACTCAAGAGTCTCCTCCAAATTCTGTGCATCCAAATCATCCATCACCTGACACCTCCACAATCCGAAATTGATCTTGCCGTCGAACTTCGGAACATTAATCTTTGTATTATTGATGCTCAGACTCTGTATCGCCTTCGAAAGGGACGATCCTGATGTGCTTGTTTCATCCATGTTGTCGATCTAACTCTTCAAATAGGAATCCTTCAGGGAATCCTTCAAACAAGCTCCAAGCCTAACCTGTAGCTCTGATACCACTTGTAGTGCGTAGCGAAAATTTCGGCATCACCTCTGCTGCACAACAAGAGAGTAAGATCACAACTAAATCTCAAAGGAAACAAGCACTGAAAGTAATATATCTCAACAAAGTGGGATATACATTCTTACTCTCATCAGTTCTAGGACTGATTTATCGAGCAAACCTAAAAACTATTACAAATCACAGTAAGACAAATTATTTTTACATGGTTCAACAAGTAGTCTGCGTCCACGGGGCAAGAAGGGGAAGATCTACTATTAGAGAGAGAATACAAATAGGATTTACAATCATACAAATTAAACCCTCAAACAATCTTCTCAAAACTCTCACAATAGGATGCACAAATCCTAAAAAACGGCTGCTCAAAATCACCTCTTTTTCTCCTCTGTGTTTTCACTACGCCGTCACTTTTCCCCTTCTGCGTTTTTTCTTCTTGCCGTAGCCAAAAGAGAAAACTCAGCCGTTCTTTTTTCTTTCTTGCACATAACCCTAGGAACTGCTACAAAAAACTATATTATATCATATCAATATGGGTGGCCCCCACATGCTTAGGCCTCCCACGCGGAAATGAAGCTGCTGAACGTGGGTGTGTCTCAATTGTGCGTGGGTCTGCTAACTTTTACGCGTGGGACCCACTCACATGTAGCTGACCCCAAGCGTTACGGATAAAAAGCTTTATAGTTTTTGTATAATGTGATGCTTTTTAAAGATTTGGTCTATCACTTTTTTTAAATTTTCCTAGTAATGAAATCTTTTCTCTCTATTTCAAGCAAAAACAATTCAACCTTAGAGCTTTTTGGAATTTCAGAAATTTGTGGAATTTTGAATCCAAAACTATACTTTTTTTCATTTTGCTTTTTAATTATAGTAATATTGTAGTTATAAAATTTTTTGTCAGAGTTTAAAGATTGGTTTGAAATTTCTTGAAAAATAAAAGTTATTTTCTCAGCTCGCTTTTCGTTCCATTCTTATAGTTTCACATATTACCCCCTACATTAGTCTCGTAGGCACATATTATTGCTGTTAAACATTATTATCCAAAATTTTCCGTATCAACGATCATTTTCTGCCTTCATATTATTTGTCATTTGAACTTGATATGGATGATTTTCTCTTAGGGGTGAACTCGATTTGGATATGGCACTTATCATATCCATATCCACTTCCTAAAAAACAGACATGGATACATATATAAATATTCTTCGATAAGAAAAAGTCAACCATATCCACATTAAGTGGAAACGGATATGGTTTGGATATTAAGGAAGCGGATATGGATACCATCACGTATGCAAATCAGATATTTGGAAAACGGATATGATTCGAATATCAGTCGTATAACATAAAATATCATGTTAATTGGACAATAAAAGTTATCAGTTAAAAAATTTGTTTTATACAGTAAGATCTCATGAAATTTCAACCACACTAATCTAAGCAAACCTCACAAAACTAAGAATTGCAAGCAATTGATTAGAAAAAGTACGAGATAAGAATTACAACATAAAGTGCTGCAAATTTTTCTTCTAGGCCTCCCATTTTATTATATCCATTGATAAACAATAAATTAAATTATAGTATAACTTAAAATTGACTATAAATAAGTTTAAAATGTATAATTGTTACCTCAGTAAAAGCATGATCTAGTAAACCAAAAACATATAACGACATTTCAAATCTCATGCAATTGATATCAAGATAATAAATTTTTTAATAATATTCATATTTGTAACTATGTCGGTGACTAAATTCATATCTAAATATATATCTGATCCATATCTGAATTTAAATAGGCGGACCGTATCCGAAAATTGAAGCGATATTTGTATCAAACCAAAAATGTGAAACCATATTCTCATTTGTTTGGGGTTACTGTTGTAGATCAGATCAGATATATATAGATTATTTTGCACCCCTACTTCCCCCTATTCGACCTCTGCATTTATCTATCTTGTCTAATAGTTTTTACACATCAAACTTCTATTTCTCGAACTTCATTCATCGTTGTCCATTGTTTCTGCACTAAATATTTACTGTGTAGTTCTGTATTAAGCGGTATCGTCGTCCATTGTTTCTGCATTCATTCGCAGTGTGTAACACCATTTTATCAATATGCAGTTGCACTTAATACTAAGTTGCATCGTGAGGGCATGCACTTTAGACATCTTCATATCATCAGCTTTCACTTTAACCTTATTATCATTGGATATCACTCACTGGCTTTTGTCATAAAAACTTTAACACTAGTTCTACCAGTTTATGCTTATTTCTGTGTTAAAATTATGTCAAGTGGAGTACTAGATTTTGTTCAACTTCATTACTTATAGGCCCATACAAATTTTTATCTGACTTTTCAGCTATTTTTGCTTCTTATGGAGATCATTGTTTTTTTAAACAGTGTCATTTTGTTGTAATCTTTGAACTAGAAATTTCTTGTTCTAATTATTTTTTCTTTAATTTTCGTAGACTTTGACTCTTAATTTAGAGCAGTTTTAGAATTTGGAAATTTCTATATTTGTTTCTTGAGAAACACAAAAATGATATGTAAAACAGGAATATTTGATTACATTGGTGCTTTGTAATTTTTTTTGTTCCAGTAATGTTACATTCTGTGCTACTTTTATCTGGAAGATTTGAAAAAAAAATTGGGTTGTAAGATCCACTTATAGATTTTGAAGATTTAAGAAAGCATGAAACCATGTTCTCTACTAATCTTTTAGAAGAAAACAAAGTGGTGCTTTGATTGTATCCTTGTCAAGTTTTTGAATTTCTTAAAATACTCTATAATTATTTATTTTATTTTCCTTTCTTTTGAATTTCTTGATTTTGTAGATATCTTTCTTGACGATGTAATCTTGATAAAAGAAAAAGTTCTATTAAATTCTTGAATACTTGTATAGTTCCTCGTATAGTCATCCTTACCTTCAAAATATTTTTTTAACCTTTGAATTAATAATAACTATAAGGTCATATTTGGTATACTTTTTATAAGAAGTTCTACTTTTTCTAGGTCTATAATTACCATATCCATATTTTTTTCCTACTAAATCATTTTAATTATGGAGTTTTAATCACTCAAAAATTCATCTTTTTGAATCCCAAGTCTGATGGTTTATTGTGTTGTCCTTTTAGACTTTGAAGAACAACGAGATGCTATGTTATCTGAGTACTTCTTTATGGAGTTATACCACTACCCGATACGTGTCGTACTGGTTTACCCGACACTTCTTGGTCACTCTTTTAATTATTTAATATATGCACATATTTATTAGACGTGTTCTCAATTATACAATGCATGTTTAATTTAAAACACTAGTCATAGTGTCATACATTTCTTGCATATGTGTCCCTACAGTTCACATCCATCTTAGTAAGTTGTTGGATAAGGGTGTTGTTCGTTTCAGCCTTAAGAACTATGATTTAAAAGGATCGTTTACATATAGCTCAGAACTATGACCATATCATAAGTAATTATCTGATGCAAATCACTCGATTCCCTATCAATATTTGAAATTATTGGTCATGTTTATAATCCATATTCATTGGTGATCATTTGATTGGCAGAGTTTGATTTCCATATTCTTTAAGTTGCCTTAATTGGTCTTATCACCTTTCTTCTTGTTTTTTGTGTGGGTGGATGGGTGGGGGTGGGTGGGGTGGATGGCTGTGTGAAATGCTCTTGAGCAAAAAGACCATAGCCTGATCTTGAAGTCCGTCTTTTTTGTGTGAAATGCTCTTGAGCAAAGACCATAGCCTGATCTTGATGTCCTTCATCTTTTTCGAGCTTGTGTAACTGTGTGGTGCGCACTTGTGTGAATGTGTGTGTGAAATTCTCTTGAGCAAAGACCAATGAATTATCTTGATGTCCTTCATCTTTATTGAGCATGCTCATGCTGTAAATATAATAGTGTATCCTGTGTGCAGGCTATAATTTCATAGTCCTACTGACTGATAGTCAATCTTTATGAACTACTACTAATAAGTTAGATCTTTTCCATCTTGTATGTGTCATGTTTTGAAATAAAAACACATCTATATTTATATTACACAGGACAAAATATGCACAAGCTCAATTCTGTGGACTGTGACTTTTACCTGAAATTCATCATACTGCAGAGTTTGGAGTCTCTGATTCAATACTGATTGTGAAAAGAGGACGGATGAATCGAGAACCTAACCTCATACGGATGCACTTAGTGTGAAAGCTACTGCAACATCTCATCAGATCCCAAGTCGATAGGCAAATGCGAACTCCAGCTTCCCCCAGTGGTGCATCATTGAGTAAAGAAAGACCAGCAGAGAAGCAAATACTTTCAGGTTTGAGCTTATTATTCTGATGGTAAGAGTAGGAGATGGTGTAGTTCAAGCAAGAGCACTGCTGGTGTTAATTACACTGGGATTGACAATCCTTTAAGAAAGATAGCAAATATAACCAACATATCAAAACGAATGGACTCTAGAATCAATGAGCATCAGCTTAGAATCTCAGTGAGGCAGCAGAGTTAATTTAAGTCGTGTATGGAAGTCCGAATAATAAGGGCAACTCTTGCAAGATTATTGGCTTGGTATTTGATAGCAAAATCCTATAGAAAGGGGGCCCAAAGTCAAATTTGAAGGTTGTGATTCAATGGAATTGTAGGTTTTCAGTTTGCATCTTGACTCTCAACCTAATTTTGAAAATGCAGGAGAGTACAGACATCTGGCTGAAGCAAAACAGGGTATGTTCATATGAGATATCTATCAATCGGAGATTTGTTGAACCATTCCAATGGAGATTCATGCCACACAAAAATGCAAACGTAAGCGTTTTTGTTTTGGAAATGACCACATAATCTGCTGCCTGCGCACTGAAATATACAGTACATTCTATAAGTAAAGGGTTGCCCCCCCCCTCCACAAAAAAAGGACCTGACGGTGACACCTTCTAGATGCAACACGCGAGAGAGATAATCATTAATGTTGTAAAAGGGCCTAGGAATCCACTTAGGTGTCAGCTTAGGACCTGACGGTGACACCTTCTAGAAGCAACACACGAGGGAGATCATCATTAATGTTGTAAAAGGGCATAGGAATCCACTTAGGTGTTAGCTTAACCGATCTCGTATTCAAGACATTTCATCTATGTGATTGCCGCAGCAGATGTAGGAAGCCTAGATGCTAGGTGCTTCTCTTCATGTCTAGAACAGCATAGCATTTTATTTTGACATATTTCTTCATATAGTAGATAGTATATGAAGGGATAGATCGATAGCTTATGTAAATATTAGTGTTAGAGAACTTTTTAATTTGTATATATTTGAGTCTAGTAGTTTGTATCATATTAGAGTTTCGAGCTCTTTTCTCCCCCACTTTTAGATGTTAGTTAAAAGTGTTATTGTTCAATTCTTTGCTATATAATGTTTCATGTTGATCTGTCTTAGGTTGAAAACTTAGATTTTGGAATACCCACAAACTTCAGCTTTTCACGAAGCATATGCACAATTTTCTCCTTTCTTCCATCTCTATGTATAACCCTTTCTTCTCCAAATCTGAAGAACCCAAATTGTATTTTTCAAGAGACATGAGAGCAGACATGGCGTCTTTGGTTATGGGATGACCTTGGGAGTCTGTTCCTAGATCACAGAGAGGGATATCATATATCCTATAGGATGTATAATTTCGTAATGATTTCTAGCGCTTCTTGTATCAGTTCTAGAATTACTTCTGAATCTAGACTAGAAGAAATCAAGTTCACATATGAGTTTGGTTCTCTAGTTTAGTTAGGCATTTTTACTGGACTGCATTTAGAGGAAAAAGTTAAAGACCTTAAGAACCAGAGTCGAGGATGCTGAAACTAAAAACAGAGAGACTCGTTGGAATTCCGGGAGTTTGATAGTGATAACTTATTTGATAAGAGAAATTAGTCGTCTATCTTTCTGATTATTTAAGTGTAGCTCTTGCAAGTAGTCTTAAGATATCTTGCCGTCATGCAATTTTTTATGCTCTTAACTGTGCCATACAGCAAGAATAACTAAGCATTTAATGCAAGTTTGTCACTTACTCTTGATATTATCATGTTAATATGCATTATGACTTACTGTACAATGTTTATGTTGGAGTTTGAACCTTATTGTTGTGCACTTCTGTTGTGTATGTCTGTTGTGGTCCTCATTAGTAGATTTGGTCTGCATTAATTTTTTTTAAGAACAAGGATGGGGTCTCAGTGTAAGACCCCGCCCTACCCTACCTTCTGCATTAACACCCAAATGATTGCCTACTTATGACTCAGCAACATCGTCATCCATAGGATGAAAACTGAACAACAGAGTATTCTGTTATAATGGTGTTTATATTAGGTTATGCTACTTTCGATTTTATTGAGTTTTTTTCTGTACTTTATATTCGATATAAATCTTCAGGATATAGCTAGCTAATTTTAAATACTCATTTTGTACACCTGTGGAGATTTGTTTATCACTTTTCTTATCTTCTATAAGGTTTGTTATGCTGATGTTCTTTTATAGTTATCTTTATACTGTGTCGTGACTGACAATATGGCACGGGTAGTCTTCTAACCAAAAATGGATTCTCTGATTATTTGTCTTGCATATAAGTTAATATATCTCAAACATGTGAGTATGTAGCATATTTTCAAATTGGTTTCTTTTGATCTTACAAACTGATTGAATTGAAAACTTTACATGTCTAATGCACTAGGCATACTTATTGACTTCAATTTTCTGTTGTTTGCATTATAAACTTATGTTATCCAATCTATTTATTGCGAGAAGTAGAGGGTTGCATTTTGCTTCATAGTACTTTATGATGGTATTTTTGCTTTCATCTATTCAAACTAGTGGTCACATACTCTTGATGGTATCCTGTTAATCTGTCCTATGACTTATTGTACAAGTCACTTGCTCCTGATTTTATTCTGTTGATGTGTACTGTGACTTATTGTACGATGTCTTTGTTGGAGATTGAGCCTTATTATTGTAGTGAACTTTTGTGCTCTGCGTTAGTATATTTGGTTCTGCACCTGTTATAGGAGAGTGTGCTCTCGCGTGCATGCGTGTGTTTATTCGAGTAAGGATGGGGTCTCAGGGTAAGATCCCAGCCCACTTTTTTGCATTAACCCTCAAAATGGTTGGTTATATATGACTCAGTTAACATCCCAACCTTAGATGAAAACTAAACAATAGTGTATTCAGTTATAATTGTGTTTATATTGGGTTTTGCTACTTTGCATATTATTGAGTCTTTTCTATACTCTATATTCAATAGGATCTTCAAAATGTAGCTTGCTATATTGTTAATATTCATCATTGTACCTCTTTGGAAGTTTGTTTATCATTCTTCGTATCTTCTGTAAAGTGTGAACTTGTTATTTTGATGAAATCTGCTGTAATCCATCCGCATACTGTGTCTTAACTGACAGTATGATATGGGCAGTCTTCTAATAAATGTGTATTTTGTGATGATAGTCTTGGATATAGTTCAAAATATATAACATATTCTTGAACTTAGGAAGAAAATTTTTACATGTGTATGCACTAGGAATCCTTGTTAACTTACAATTCATGTTATTTGAATTATTAATTTATGTTATCCAATATATTTATTGCTTGAAAAGTATGGTTGTATATTGCGTCATAGTACCCTATAGTGGTATTGCTTCATGTATTGAAACTAGTTGAATGCTTCTTGTCAATTTTGCATTGGAAAATATTAGACTGAATTTAGATGTTTATTTGGAAAAAAGAATTTAGTTTGCCGTAATTTTGATGGCTTAAGTTGTACAGTAATGGATGTGGCTTGTGTAGCGCAGTTTGTATGAAATTTACAAGTAGGTTTATGCATCAGCATTAGCAGCCGTAATTTTCCTTCGAACTAGCACGTTATCATGCATAAATTTTCCTCAAAACTATCACGCATTATAAGCATCTTACAGTGTGAAGCCAGGAAAGCGTTCACCTCAAAGATTTGCATTATATTCTGTAGAAATATATTTTGAGAATTATGTGATGAATAATAAGAGGGTACAGAATTAGAACATAATAGCAAATGTTAAAAATACTCTTACCTGCCAGCCAAGTATTTACCGAGTTAAGTAGTACTTTTAGTGCCCTTATGAAATCAACAATGAATCTAGTTTTAATTTCCTTCCCCTAATGAAAAAAGTAATAACCAAGAAACTACCTTGACAGTACGTAAAAAACAAAGAAGCTGCCATGTTTTGTAATGTGAGTAGGGGCCACAACCTTTTCCCATTTTTCGTTTCTTTGCGTGTGAATGTGGCCCACCCGAACTCGTGAAGCGGAGCAGGTACGAGACTGATTGAACACCCAATTCCGCTGCTATAAAAATAACGCCTAGGGTTTCGGGATGTGAGCAAGGCTGAGGGGAAAACGACAGTGTGAAGGAGGTTTTGTTTTCGGCTGTGGTTGTCAGAAGCTTTTTTGGGCTTTGTGTGGGTGCAGAAAATTGCAGAAGGTAGCGGCAGAAGTTAGCCGTTCTTTAAGGGTTTTGAATATCCTTTTGAGAGAGAGATTGTGAGGGTTTTGAGAGATTATTTGAGGGTTTAGATTGTGAGATTGTGTATCCTAGTTGTATTCTCTCCCTCTAATAGTAGATCTCCCCCCTCCTTGTCCTGGGACGTAGGCTATTTGTCGAACCACGTAAAATTAGTTTGTCTCGCTATTTGTGTGATTTGTATAGCATATTTAGGTTCCCTCGACAAGTCAGTCCTAGAACTAATGAGAGGAAGAGCTGATATTCCACTTTGTTGAGATATTTTGCTTTTGGTTCTTGTTTCCTTAGTGAAACGGGAATTTTTATTGCGAGCTAACTCTCTTGTTGTGCTACCGACGTGCTCCCAAAATTTTCGTTGCGCACAACAAGTGGTATCAGAGTCCAGGTTTTAGATTTAGGGTTTTGGAATTAGGTGGAGGAAGATTCTTATGTGAATCTTGGTTTTTGGAGTTTTAGGCTTCGGTGGAGATAGCATTAGGAGTTGTCGTTGGAGATTTTGCTTTCCTCGTGTGGATAAGAGATCTATTTGGAATCTGATCTAGGGTTCGGTTGGGTAATTCTTAATTTCTATCAAAGTTTGGTTTTTTCTCTACAACTGGAGTTAGTTTGCAATGGGAGAAGAAGGTGAAAGCAGCAAGTCGTTGCGAGTACAATTCAAGTTGGTTTTCAGAACATCAAAATTAGTGTGGTGAAGTATGACGGTAAAATCAACTTTAGTTTGTGGATGAGCGACATACAGGATGCGCTTATCCATGAGAGACCACCTAAATATGAAGAGGCAATATGAGTAAAGATGAATAGGAACGCTTGTGGGGTGATCGGGTTCTGTTTGAAACAGGAGCTGAAGTATAATGTGATTGGGGTGACGTCTGCAATGAAAATGTGAGAAATTCTCAATAATAAGTACCTTACGAAGAGTGTTGAGAACCGGTTGCACTTACTGTGTAGGTTATTCATATTTTAGATGTCCAAAGGCACCTCGCTTGCAGCTCATGTGAACAACTACACTAAGTTGTTGTCGGACTTGGTGAATGTTAATAAGAAGATATCGGATGAGTACAAGGCTATTATCTTATTGGGTTCCTTACCAGATGAGAAGTATGACACATTTGTGCTCACTTTGTTGAACGGGAGATCTTC